AGAAGCTCACTAAAGAGAGGGTAATGTTGTGACAAGAAGCTCACTAAAGAGAGGGTAATGTTGTGACAAGAAGCTCACTAAAGAGAGGGTAATGTTGTGACAAGAAGCTCACTAAAGAGAGGGTAATGTTGTGACAAGAAGCTCACTAAAGAGAGGGTAATGTTGTGACAAGAAGCTCACTAAAGAGAGGGTAATGTTGTGACAAGAAGCTCACTAAAGAGAGGGTAATGTTGTGACAAGAAGCTCACTAAAGAGAGGGTAATGTTGTGACAAGAAGCTCACTAAAGCCACACAATTTTATTAGGGGAGGCCATGTAGTAGAGTGTTCCCAGGTAACAATGGCAGTTAACCTGTAGACAATGCCAACATCTATCTACGTGAAACGGATGGGAGCTAACCTGTAGACAATGCCAACATCTATCTACGTGAAACAGATGGGAGCTAACCTGTAGACAATGCCAACATCTCTCTACGTGAAACAGATGGGAGCTAACCTGTAGACAATGCCAACATCTAGCTACGTGAAACAGATGGGGGAAACAAATAGCTGCGCCCTAATTCCTTTTGTTTTTTTGAAAGAAAAAAACCAACCAAGCTTGGGGGGCACAAGGTCCTTCAGAAAGACACATTGCTGATCATGGTGACATTAAGAGCATTGAGGAGCACAAGGTCCTTCAGAAAGACACATTGCTGATCATGGTGACATTAAGAGCATTGAGGAGCACAAGGTCCTTCAGAAAGACACATTGCTGATCATGGTGACATTAAGAGCATTGAGGAGCACAAAGCCATTCTAGAGAAACAGTTGTTCTAAGCTTAACAACAATAATCTATTTTATATACAAATATTTGATAATATACAGTGAATGACAGAATGTCAAGTTAAAATTTGCATAAAACGGTGACATAAATAAATTCCATTTTAAGATTTTTTTTTTGACCCAACAGAGTAACTTTCAGTGATTGAAAACTACCATGTTTTTTTTTTCTTTTAAAAGCGTTTCCAAGATAATCAACTTCTCAAGAAACGTATACTGAAGGATTCAATATAATTGTCGGAAGGTAAATAAATACATTTCACTTCAATTTTGTACTGTGGGCCCTGAGTCCATGACAAAAATTTATGTAGAAATTTAATCATCAAAATTTAACAATGGTTTAAAAAATGATTGATTTTAGAATATTTTCAATAAAATAAAAAAAGAAACCAGTAGGCAAGGTCGAACAAAAATGGAACAACTCTTCCATGGAACAACTCTTCCATGGAACAACTCTTCCATGGAACAACTCTTCCATGGAACAACTCTTCCATGGAACAACTCTTCCATGGAACAACTCTTCCATGGAACAACTCTTCCATGGAACAACTCTTCCATGGAACAACTCTTCCATGGAACAACTCTTCCATGGAACAACTCTTCCATGGAACAACTCTTCCATGGAACAACTCTTCCATGGAACAACTCTTCCATGGAACAACTCTTCCATTAAGACACAATGACCCAATATAATTATTGGCTGATAATTTAGATCTCCAAGAAACAGATACATTTTAAAAACAGTAAATTTGACTGGACACAGGGTTCCAGCTATCTGCAGGTCACAACACAAGTTGTCTACAGTTTAAAATATGAACAATAAAAATATTAACACCATTTTGTTGTCGGACATGAGAAACAAAAGTTCCAGTTTATGGCCAACAGACATGGGTTTTTTTTTGAGCAAAGAGATATTTTTGTCAATTGTGTTTAGAAAAGTTCACTTATGAAAACTTCTACTAAAGGTATATTATGAAGTTCAATGTTAACACATTGTCCACCAAACATAAAGGGATGGCAGAAACACAGCCTAATTTTGGGACTCGTATTTAAAAAAAAAAATTCTTAGCAATGTATCATGGGCAGGGACAGTTATCATGTGAACATAGAGGTGAATGCTTACCTCTGAACTATTAAAAAAAAAAATTCTAAGCAATGTAACATGATGTTTGGGGGGGGTGGGGAAAGGAGGAGGAGTTCATCATGTAAAAATAAGAGTGGACCTCTGACCTTTCAACTATTTAAAAAGCCCAACAACAACAACATCAGCCTGTTCTAGCTTTTCTATTCCAGTATAGACAGCTGCTGGTGATGGCCAAGCTAGTGCAGCTGCAGATGCAATTTGATCATTGCCGATGCCAGTAAATGCACTACCACTCAGAAGGCTAACAATTCTGCTCATCTACTCAAACCCACGAAACGCAACAATATTTGTATATATATATATATACCTAAGTGTCTGTACAATATAATTACAAATATACAAAAAGTGACAAAACTCAATGGCTTGCATATACAAACAGAGGAAATGTTTTACAATAAAAGAGTAGATGTTAACAATCAGATAAAAAATATGTACAAAGCTGTGTGCTACCGCTGGCTGACACGATACACACATCATGATCGACAGATCTGCAAAGCTCTTATGAAAAGCAATGACAAAATGTGTACATGTTACACAACTATTGTACTTTCATCCAGTCTTATTTCCAAAAGTGATTTAATGGGGAAACTCATTAAAAAAAAAAAAAAAAATGAAACAAAAAGAAGATTTTGTTGACGTTGAAGAGTTTAAAGCTACTTCCATGTAAAAGTAATGAGTTGTTTGATTTTAAGATGAAATTCAGAATTTGATTATTTTTCCACATGGTTAAAAGTTAAGCAAAGAAAAGTTCATTATTATTTATATTATACAAAATTTAGCTAGTATTGTCTTTCAAAAACAAAATATATAATTTATTACTATTCCATAGCATCTCTTTATACAAGGTTGAATGGGCTATGACATGAATATTGGCCAAGTGAGCTCAGATTTGGTTGATGTGTTCTTGAAAAAAAAAAAAAATAATAATTGAGAAAAATATATACTACATCCATCACTACAAAATTATTAATAAAAGGAAAAAAAAACAACAATAAAACACACAAAAGAATCTCAAGAAATCAATAATGCAATGTTGTCCAATACAACCGATTATTTCTTTAAAAAAAATAATAATTAATTCATTTATCTAAAGCCATATGGGAACGCTGGCCTTAACAAGCCATGCTGAACGCTATAAGCACCATGAACATCCCATGTAAGGCTGGGCCAGTCTAAAACATAACAGCCGATTTCACAATGTTGCACAACAATGTCTTTAAAAAAATGAAAAGCAAGATAGAAAAGAAAAAAAAAAAATCAACAAAATACAACTTAATGGCAGGAAAAAATCAGCACATTTGAGTATTAACAAAATATCATTAACTGCTCTGACAAGAGTAATGTTTTTTTGTTTTGTTTAAATCTGATGCTCATATTGATTTACAATTGTCGCATATAAAAAAATCTGGTAACTTCAGATCCATTAAAATGTGAAAACTGAATTCATTTTAGGATTTTTGACTTTGGCCGATGTAAAATAGGCACCCCACAGATGAAGGTCACTCTCTCTGCAAGATGTAGTACAGTGTGAACTTATTGAAACAGCAAGATTTACCAATAAACACGCTTTACATAGATGGTCATACTGGGACAGCGTTTATGCACTTACTAGATCATTAGTAAATGGAATTTTTGAATACAGTCTCTAAGCACTTTCAGTTAGCACTACTGGGTCGACTGTGCTGGAGATGTCACAACATTTTTCTGTCTGTCACTACTTTCATTTAGCACTACTGGGACACATGTGTTGGAGATATGGCGGGATGTCAGAGCATTTTTCCGTCTGTCACGCCATGTAAATTTTGACCAATAATAACATTAAAGATGGCAAATACTGATGGAGTGTGCCCCATTATTTTCTAAATTTCTAAGACATTATTTTCTACATTTCTAAGAAATCTCTTAACTACAACAGGAAAAGAACCAGGGCCTAGCAGGGGAGGGCACACAAACGCAGGGGAGGTCACAAAAACACATGGGTTATGTTCAATTGCCCAAAATCTGAGCTTGTCATTCTTAGTCAGTTAGTTAATGGGTTGAACAGTTCATCATTGTTGCACGTTCAACTTGTCATAGCGCGTTGGGGTTGTTTTTCTTTTTAGTTACAGCTCTAACTAGAGTTAGTGAACATGACATCACCGATACCAGAAATTAACATGCAAGTGCTTTTAATAGCAACAAATTCACAGAGAAGTGGATTGATTTCATGTAAAAAAACAAAAAGCAACAAATCTATACTGCAGGTGAAATGATGTCAAACAATGACTTGGAAGTTGTTAAGTATATAGAAACTGCACCGTTCTTAATCTTGGTACATTATAAAACCTGGGAGCAGAGCTGTTACTGACAGCAACCAAGAGAGAATATTGCATGAGCTGTAGGGAACATTAATGCTCGGAGCAGGCACATCTGCCCAATATTAGCATATCATTTTAATTAATTTCCTATAGGAAGGTACTATTTCAGGGAATCTCCCATAATTAAAACCAAAGCATCTGACCATAATTTTTTTTTTAACATTGACTGACACTCTCTGCAGTTAGTTAGCCCTGTGAAATTTGACATTTCCTGCACTATGTAGCCTGTACAAGTTAGTATCCGTAACATGACTGCAGGCCCTCTGTGACGTGTATCGGATGGCACCGCTGCTGGTAGAGCAGTTGGAAATCTCAATTATCTACAAGCCACTTTGAACAATATTTGCAATGACAGTTCCCCACAGAATTTCGAAAGCAAATCCTTTCATTCAAAAGAATTCATTCATGCATTTTTCTCTCTAGCCCAGCTTTACCTACTTCATTACATGACATAGGCTGTCAACAAAAGTTAAACTTGATTTTGTGGAAGAATTCAAGCGACATAGCATAATTTACCAGCCCTATTATTCCGCTTGATCAGCATTTAAGTTACGTTGGCTTGGCAAAAACAAAAAAAGGGAAACAATGGACATGTGAAATATATTACACGGTGGTGACCATGCACGCTGCAGTCATCTCCCCTTCCCCTCGACTTTCCTCAGACTTGCTGGTGGATAAATTCTTCTGCCGGCGTCTGGCCAAAAGCATTTCAGTCTTGGTCATGTGCTTTTCAGGATTGGATCCCAAACTGACATTGTCCTGGCTCTCCGAGTGATCCTCGCCATTTGTGGAAGAGGCCGGCGTTGAAAGATCCACCACCAACAGAGAGCTGCCGCCACTGCTGGTTGGAGTGGTCGCCGGTGGATTGTAGTTGAAAGGGGCAACAATTGCCGACGGGCTGACTTTGTGCTCCGTTCTCAGCTGACTCGGCTTGGGTGTGGTCGCCAGTGTCGTCGTCCCTTGGTGGCAGACGAGTTTGTCATCAAAATTCGACATCGTGGACGGTTCAATTTTGATGTTGGCGCTGAAAAAATCATACTCTTTCTTATCCTTTGAATTTTTTTTGTCCTTGCCGTTTATTTTCTTACTTTTGCCCTGCTCTTTTTCAGAAGGTTTTGACCTGGAGGTCTCAGAGTTTTTTGACTTGGATTCCTTATCCTTGTCTTTGTTGTGGCGCCCGGAGCCAAAGAGGCGCTTCAGGCCCTGGGCAACTTTGGACTTGGTTTTGCCCCCGGTCTTCTCTTCATTTTGCTTCCCTTTCTTCTCATTTTTAGAGATTTGTGAATCATTGTTGGAGATGGCGCTGATGCTCATCTCACTGAGGATGCTGTCCTCATTGATGAATTTAGTTCTAGGATGGAGCACACTGTTGTTGGTGTGGGGAGATCCCATGGAGTCATTGAACGAGCACATGGACTTGCATGTCTCATCGGCATTGGGCAGTTCGAAATCTGAGATGCTCGGGTCCCGTTTCTTTTTTCTGAAAGTGCTGGTATCAATGTGGGGGCTAGGGTCGCAGGACTGGTCCAAGGAGTCCACAGAGTCAGACGTGGACTGCCTGGTGATTTTCCCACTGCCCCCATGACGACTGGTGGGAGAGTCGTCAAACTCGCTGCTCTCCAGGCTTTCATTTGTGTCATACATCAAGTTAGCGCTGACCCCTCGGTCCACCCTGGAGTATTCCTCATCATCTTCATCATCGCAGAGCTCAAACACTTCACCACGTCGTACCCCAGTTTCAGGGGACTCGGTGCTTTCTTTCTGTTTGGCAATTTTGGACATTTCTGCAGATTTCTTCGCCGGTCTCCCCGTGTGCCTGCCTTCTTGGACTTTGACCTCTGAAGAAAGCTTCTCATAGGTGGCGCTCTTGCAGATGCCATCGCCGGCTGATTTTGAGGCTGTGAGACTGGCTGAGGCGGGGAGCGTGGCTGCTTTGGTTTTAAACCCTGAGGGAGGCAGGCTGCTGGGTTTTGTGGAGGCAGGTGATGTCTTTACAGTGGATATGGGCAGTTTGGACAAAGAGGAGGATGCTGAGGACAGGGGACTTTCACGGGAAGGAGACCTTTCCAGGCTGCCATCCCTCTTCCACAACGTTGCTATTTTACTGGTGACCTGTTTCTTGCCAACGCCACCAGGGGGAGTACGTTTACTGGGCTCGGCATTCAGGGATGAAGAGGACCCTTCGGATTTTCTTGTGGGGATCCCTGAACCCGATGAGTTGGAAGACCGGCGGCTGTTTCCGCTGCTCACAGGGGTCAAAGGGCGGTTGGGGGTTCTCAGGCTATCACTGGATCTGTTTACTGTACTGGCTTTGGCATCGTTTGATAAACTCCTGTTGAATACCTTTGTGGAGCCAACATTGGCTGGGCTGCTGGCATTCTTTGTCACAGTTTGTCCAAGTTTTTTCTCACCACTTAAACTGGAAATAGTGTTGTTGCTTGAAGACCTAGTAGCAATGCTATTTGACTTGTTGCCACTATTTTTCTGGACGTTATTTGGAGACACGCTAAGGGAGGCTTTGCTCGGGCTGGCCACCGGCAGCTTGGACTGGCCGAGCGTAGGAATACTGCTGGCGTTTGACTTGAGATTGGTTACCGCAGCTGCAGAGAGTGGGCTGCTCCCTGTGGTTGACTTGAGATTGGTTACCGCAGCTGCAGAGGGTGGGCTGCTCCCTGCGGTTGGTTTGTTTGGGGCCTTCAGCACCCTTTTCATTGCAGCGGGTGCGTCTTTGGAATTTCTCTGCATTTGGATTTGCTTGTAAGCCATCCCATCTTGCGTGGTATCCACTAAAAAGTTGTATGAATCCAGAGCTTTACTCCACGACTCTGGGATGCTGCCGTTGGACAATCTGTTGTTCCCCGTCTCCGACAACGAATGGCTGGAGCCGTTTGATAAACGCTGGTTGGCTGGCACAGCGGTTGGCTTCTTTTCTCTCATTGTGACCACCTGCTCCTTATTTTCTTTGTTATCTGGTGAGGAATTCTTGCCGCTCAGGCTGGACGAAGACCCTGAGGTCGGCCTCTTGCCAGTCGTAACGGACCCATCTTTCCCAGGTGCCTTGGGTGGAGTGGCTGGCTTCAGATTTTTGTTGGGTGGTTTTGCTGTTGATGGGATTGATGGTGGGGAGCTTGAAGTCTTGCCGACAGACTGCTTCGCCTGGATGGGACCAGCTCGGCCAGCTGGCTGTACAGACTGACCTTTAAGGCCTGGTTTTTGACTCCCTGTGGGTGGGGAAACTGTCTTAGCGGTGGAGGCCGGCCCAGCAGATCTAGACCTTGGACTTATATTCTTTTTCTGAGCAGCCCCGTTCCTCTGAGTATTGTTTACAACTGGTGTGGCTGTTTGTTTAGGCCGGGGTGAAATCTGCGCAACAACTGGATTTTTCGGTGGTGTTTTCTTCAAACCGGGGGTGCCTGCACCGGGTTTGGGAATACCCGTCTGTCCAGGGGCCCCCTTTATCCAAGGGTTAGCAGCAGGGGTGATTTTTCCTCTGTTGGTAGCCGCATTGGTGGACTTCCCAGGATACAAGGGTTTTCTCCTCCCCCTGACAGCCTTCATTTCATCTCCTTCGTCAGTAGCAGCCTTCTGTATGGGCCGAGCTGAGGCTCCGGGTTTTAATATCTTTGGACCTAGACCAACTTTAGAGGAGGATGAACCTTGGCTCTTGGTTTCGGCGAGTGTGGCAGATGACCGATCAGATGTTTTGTCAGAGCTGACCGACCAGGTGACCGATACCTCAGAGTTTGTGTCAGAAGCATAATCATTGGAGACCAAGGAGATGGTCTCGTTCTCTATGAACAGATCCTCGTCCACCGTGCTGCCACTCATTTCAGTTGTTTGAATCTCAGACATTACCAGATTGACATTTTCAGCCAACAGCCGCTCTTCTTCCTCCGGGGAGATTTCTCCCTCAAAAGACTCATCTGCCTGGTCATAAACCTCGTCATAATCTGGGTCTTCTTCATTATCATCCTCAATGAAAAAATGTACGTCATGGGGATCCTCCCCATCAAATTCCCGATAAGCTTGTCCCGCCCTGATGGTTGTGTCAGCAGCTTCATCGTTATCATCATAGCCATTAGACATCACAGTTGTGTTTGCAGTCTGGGTCTCACCGTCATCTTCAGTGCCTTCAATATTTTCTGGGTCGCCAGCTGTGAGCTCAACAACACTGTGACTGGTGAAGATGGCAGAGTCAATGTCCACGTCATCACGGAGAGCCAGCAGACCACCCATGTTGTCATTTGAGATCTCCCTCACTTTGGCAGCAAAATCACTCAGGGCTTTCTCCGAATCTGCCTTCTCCTTCGGATTTCTGAAATGAGCACGGCCTGCTGGAGCATGGTCAGAACCCTTTAGGCTCTTGGCTAATCTCTCGCTCTGAATGCCTGAACCGTGCTTCTTGTCCAGGACATCTTCAAGAGAGCCCAAGGAACCTAGATGCACCTGTCCCCTGCTGCCAGCTTGGGCGAGCTTGTTGCTTATGTCCTTCTGAACCTTCAGGTAGTTTTCACTGTCCTGTGAGAGCGAACGATGCCGAGAGCCGCCAGAGGCCTGGCCGTCGTCGTCGTCCTGAGAACGGTGCCGCTGTCTGCGCCGCCCGGTCTGTCTGGAGGACGGGGTCATCTGAAACTCAAAGTCCAGTTCCGTTGTGTCTGAGCAGGACCTGGTCATCAGGTTCTCACAGCTGCTCTGCTCATGAGACAGCGAGCCCTGAGACTCTGTCTCGTTTTCACTCCCGCTGTGATATCCAGTCACGATGCCGTTGGTCATTTCGAGGGAGGCACTCTTCATGAGCCCCCCCACGGCACCACTGGCATTGGTGCTCATCTTCTTGCCAGGTCCAGCTTTCTGAGTGAGAAACTTGGCCCTGGAGTGCCTTCTAGCTCGATCTTCCCCCCTGGGTAGCCTTGATTTGGGCATGGCCGAGTTGATGCACTGTTCAAGGAGAGCTTGTTCTGAAGGGGTCGGATCGCAGTCGGCCAGTTCATCACTCAAAGAGTCACTTGATTTGCTGTGCTTCATCTCAGGCTTGGAACTGCCGCCCCCTGAGGGTTTCTTGTCCTGCTTGATGGGGACTGCCGGGGACTCAATTTGATCCAGCTTGTCTAGGCTGGTGATTGAGCTCAGGGAGGAGTTCCTGGAGAAACAGACTGGCGTGTCCTCGACCTCAAACTTGATGGGCCGATCTACTTTGTCCCCTGCCACGCTACTGTCTTCGCTGGATTGGCCAACCACGTGGCGCTCTCTTGGGATGGAGGAAGAGCTGTCGCTTTCATCCCGATCGTTGGATCTCTGCTTGTCCTTGTGCGGGCTGGCACTGACTCCACTTCCTGTGCCCCGATCTTCATCACCACCCAGGGAGCTAAGGGAGTCATTTCTTGAAAATGTTATGGGCGTGCCCTCATCCTTGTAAACGTGAAGAGTGTCATTACACGGGGGTGAAAACGTGACATTGTAAGATGAAGAATCATTGCCCTGTGGGACACCGTTTGTCTTTGGCTGGTACTTCGGTATGCTCTGAGGTGCAGAAAGCTTGGGGATCTTGCAGGCAGTACCCTTGGCACTAGAAGGATTCGGTTTTTGAATGGCCCGTCCTGTGTTACTCCCCCCACCTTCTCCGGAGTCTATGGACAAATCACTGAGAGACGTGGCAGCTGAAAAGTTTTTAGGCGTCCCTTCAACATTGTAAGTCTTCATTGTGTCTGTGGGAATAAAGTCATGGAACGGGGCCATGACCGTCAGGTTGGATGTCCGGGGGATGAAGGCTGACGTGTTGCAGTCACGGCTGCTTTGCTTGCCTGTGGCACTGCCAGCACCACTGCTGGCCCCACCGTCGGCACCGCCTCTCCCTCTGAATTTTCTACCAGGTTTACTTTTAGGCATGCCAGACTCTATCATCTGCGTGAGGAGCAGCTCTTCGTTCTCTTCACACAGAGAGCCGTTATCACTTTTAGCCTCATCCACCTCCGACTTGGCTCCTGTTGACGAAGCAGATTTTTTGGGCGACGGGGAGGAATTCTGGGTCAGCACGCTGAGGTCCGTCATCGAAGTGGCTGCTGAGAAATTCAAAGGGGTGCCTTCGGTTGCATAGGACTTGACACAATCTTCACTGGAGTCCACGTACTGGTCAAGATCTTGAGAAGCGCCCTGGAAAGTGGGGACGCTGTTCAACAGAGGGGCTGGGGCCGTAACATGCGGTGTGACTGCGCTCACAGGAGGGGCGGGACCACTGATATGAGGTTCAGATGCCGTGGCGTTGGTCTTGGAGGGCACGGGCAACCCTTTCTTTGGGGAAGCTCTGCCAGGAGGCGCCATCTTAGCCACTCTGTTGAGAACTGGATTCAAGTTCTTGCTGGCCGACCCCCTGGTGCTGCTGTTACTTGAGGACGAGGGTTCCACAACTGCGCTTGGCGTGCCCGTGGCACGCTTCACAGGCAGGCACGAGCCGCTTGGCGGTTTGGCTGCGTAAACTGATGGAGGAACTTCAGGCTTGATCGATGCCATTTCTGACTCCCCTGCGTGCTCAACTAGAGTTGGAAGGGTTTTGGCACGTGGTGTCGTCACGCCACCATTACCAAGATGGCCACTCTGTATGGCACTGGGTGGCTGAATATTTTTCTGAAACGTGCTGAAAGTAATGGGTGGGACTTCCTGTTCCCTGTGAAACGATGAGAAGTCAATGGGCTGATCGTCATCAAAGTCTGGGAAGGCGTGCAGGTGTTGTATCTCTGCATTTCTCATGGCAAAGTTTATGGGCTTGTCCTCCTCATCGAAGGCAGCAAAACTCATGAAAGCTTCTGACTTGAGTGTGCTGGGGGTCTGGTTGAAGTCCAGCAGCTGCTTGGCTGTGATCAGAGACTTGGGCGTCGATGAGAACTCTTTGAGCCTGCGTGTCGGGGAGTGAGTTCTTCTTGGACTCGACGGCATGGACTCGGAGGGTGAGTCTGGGATGTCGCTGGGGGAGACCACCTCGCTGGCTCTTCGGCTGTACTCACTGATAACGGAGCTATGAACAGACTGCGTATCGAAACTGCTGAGTGACTCGGGGGAGCTGCTCCGGCTGAACATGAGAGGGGTTTCCTCCACCTGACATGGAGGTAAATACAAGCTGGTTACGGTCTTTTGGGCACCGGGTAACCTCATTTAAAAATTTCCATTCATAAGCATGTAATACAGCTGTACTCAATTACCTTTCAAGATGAGACTCAACAAGTGTAGGTAGATAACTACTAACACAAATGTTTATGGAAGAAAATCTGTTTTTACATTAATTGCCTTTCTGTGAAGAGGCTCTCAGAAAAAGATTTTCTTTACAAAAACTACTAGTTTTATTTTATAGTGATCTACCATACCCATTTATAGTATTTTCCAGTATCATTTATAGTGATTACCAGTAATATTTATAGTGAACAACCAGGACAATTTATAATGATAGTGAGCTACAACTGTTTGCAATAAACAAAATGAAAAATGTCAAACCTGATGGTTCTCATCAAAAGTGACCGTCTTGACCTCTCTGTAGCCCTGGCGTGGGACCTGATCCGAGTTGCCTCGTCTCAGGTTGGACCCTAGCTCTCCTGAAACTCCAGACACAAGCTTGTTTTCAATGACAGAGATGACCATTGCATCTGGCGTCTCAGCTTCTTCGATGTTGGCCAACTCAGGCTGTGGAAATGATGTGCTAAAGTTACCATTAGGTTTCTAGAGCAAATGATAAGAACAATTAAAATTGGGGACAGTTGGATGCCACTAGAAAATCCTTATAATTTACCATTAGGTTTCTAGAGCCAGTGACATGAACAAAGAACATCATGGACAGTTGGATGCCACTAAAAAATCCTTATAATTTACCATTAGGTTTCTAGAGCCAGTGACATGAACATCATGGACAGTTGGATGCCAGTGGAAAATCCTTATTCTTTTTTCTTAAAACATATTTGCTAAGTGAACACAACATTACTCCAGTGGTAGCAATGAGACATAAAATACAGGAAGAAAGAAAAAAAAAGGCGACACACCAACTCCTAAAATGACACCTGTCATCTAGCTATATCGAACACACCAACTCCTAAAATGACACCTGTCATCTAGCTATATCTAACACACCACTCCTAAAATGACACCTGTCATCTAGCTATATCTAAGCTCCCTAGCATTGCTTAATTCAGAATTAGGATAAGATTCTTTAGACTGCTTGATAAACCACTGCTGTGGAGACTAGCCAATGAACCTACCTTATCCACCAATCTGTTGGGACCATCACCTTCCCTGGCCTCACTGCTGTGGAGACTACTGAGGGAAGACACCCGAGAGAAGCAGACAGGCGTTCCCTCTTCATTGTAGGTCTTTGTCTGGTCTAGGGCACCTGAGGGATGCAGACATTCTACAATGTTAAACGTGGAACCAAGGAAATGGCATTAAATGATAGGCACCATAGAGGGGAGCCTGCATGAAACCTATGAATAATCATTTGACACTAAATGAAAAAGTCAACAAAAAAAGTAAAACTCCTCTATTTCCTTGTTTTTAAATCAGAGTCAAGCAGATCAACTTTGTTTTGAGTTGAACACACATGACTTGAAGGTTTACTTAGTCTAAAGTGTTGCAAAGTTCGTTATAAAAAACTTTACCACCATTTTTAGTCCCCAAGATTATGAAAGAACTGAAAATAATAAAATACTTTTGTCAAGCAGTTTAAACATAACATCAGAAAACCAATCAGTGGGCACCAAAAATATCAGGATGACTGGAAAAGCTCAACAAATCTCACCCTCATTTGTATCAGCGTGGAAGTTGAGTTGATCAGCTGGTACTTCAGACATCTGGGAGCTGGCCTTGGATACCAAAGAACCTGAAAATACAATCAAATAAGCAGTCGAATTTTACATATCTTCTCTTCTTCAGAGCATGGGAAATAACTCTAATACAATGTACAGTCAAAAATTGCTAATCTACTTTAAACCATGGGAAATCACTCCTTTTATTGATTTGAAGAGGTGGTGGAAAATTCTAGAAATCCGATTGCCACCAGCAAGAAAAAAATACAAAAGTATCTGCTTTATGGTCAAACATATAAGTAACTATTTAAAAAAAAATAAAAAAAATTAACTACATCGAGATGCTCTGGCAACTCATGGAGTATTAAAACAGCTTCTACAAATATCATAAAATAAAAAGGATAGAGTCAACAACTCAAGAGGTTGAACAGCATATGAGAAAACAACCCAGGAGGTCACACAATGTCAGAGAGGCATAACTTTAAGCAAACTGAAATTAAATAACTGTAAAGCCCTGAACTGAGAGGTCCCCTTGACTGAGATGATGTCAGACTTTAAAAGAAACAACTTTTAAAAAAAAATGTAGTACAACTATTTGGCCGGGCAGTTGGTAGCTATGAAGATGGACTTAAAATTTATTGAGGCCGTGGCTTTTTCCATACATTGCAGGACAAGCCTTTTTTCCATTGCTTCTAAAAAAAAAAACAAAAAAAAAAAAAACACCCAGTGGGGACTACGGTGTATTAAATAAATAGCCTAGGGTGTTTAAAATCGAAGCTTAAAAAAAATGGAAGAAAATGAAATAAATCTACATTTAAAATTTATTGAGGCCGTGGCTTTTTCCATACATTGCAGGACAAGCCTTTTTTCCATTGCTTCTAAAAAAAAAAACAAAAAAAAAAAAACACCCAGTGGGGACTACGGTGTATTAAATAAATAGCCTAGGGTGTTTAAAATCGAAGCTTAAAAAAAATGGAAGAAAATGAAATAAATCTACAGCATTAACATAAACAATATTATTGCTAATAAGCAGGACTGCAAATACAAAATCGGTCAAAATCTTTTTTGGTAAATAGAACACCCAATGAGTGTTTACCTCCGGTGATGTTGCTGTGCCCACATATAACTGTAGAGCCAGTTCTGCGATCCGTTGTCTGACTCCCTGAACTGCTAGGCGCGTGATCAACCTCTGTCTTGCATTTCAACTCCATGTCGGCAAGGGTCAGTGTTCTGTCGCCGTCAGCTGCATTTCTAGAACCACCAGCGTCCCCATAATTATCCTGGCTGCTTGCATTGTTAATGTCTTCATTTTCATCGTCATCATCCTCCTCTCTGTCAGCATCAGTTTTCCCAGCTTGAGTTAAATCAGTGAGAGAAGTGGCTGTTGACAGATAGGGTGTCCCTTCTGTATAGAAAGTGCGAACCTGATCATCATTAGAACTGTTGTCCAGCCTTTCATTTGCACGACGGGCCTCTGCGTATTTGCATTCAACACAGTGGCGCTCGTCTTGGTAACCTGGTATTTCCGCTGCTGCTGAGCTAACACCATTATCACGGAAACGCATGGAGTAATTAATAGGCTGTTCCTGATATCCATCACTGCAGTTGTCTTCTGAAACTTCATTGTAACGAAGACTGAAATCTGTGGGTTGGTCTATCACCGAGTCTAGATCGGTTTCAGCATAAGCACTGAATTGTTTTATGGGAAGTTGGTGCGCTTTATTTTGGTGTGCGGCTGGCATTGTGTTGAACTGACCAGGGCTGTTGAACACCTTTCCTTGCGGTGGGAATCCAGGGTGGCAGGCAGTGGCAGGGTTCAATGGAAGACTTGAGCTGTGTGGCTGGATGAGCTGACTAGATGATGAAAAAAGATAGTTGGCTGGATGACTGGATGGATATGGATGTCCCTGAGGAGTCATGAACTGTGCAGGGTGGTATCCGGTGTCAGCAGATCGATGTGGCTGTGGTGTGTGGAACCGGTTGTGGACCAGGTTAGGCACTGCCCGGTGTGGGGTGTGGATAGCTGGGTTCTGGATGGTGGACCCACCCTTGCCGACACTGTTGACAGATTTTTTGTCAAGAAGGCTATTGTTTAATAGAAAGTTGTGATCCATGCTAGTGCTCAGACCACTGTTGGGGGCTCTTGCGTGATCTCCTATGCCCCCTGTTCTGAAATTTGGTGTGCTTTTACCAGTGGTGAGATGACCATAGCCGGAGTGGATATTGCTGGCAGATGACTTGTTACCAGTGCTGCTTCTCTCATCCTGGTACTTGAGGCTGTAGTTGACAGGTTGGTCAGTGTCATCTTCTGAGGGCCGCGTCATCCTGCTGTCAAAGTCCAAACTGCTGCTGAGCAGATTTGGGTTGGCTGAAATGCTGTTGAATGTACTGTTAAAACCTGATGAGGATTTGGCCAGGCGTTCTAAAAGTGACTGTTGGTTTGGATAAATCAATGACTGGGACGGTGCTGACTGTGTGAGGGAAAGTTGACCATGTATGTTTGCAGATGGTTCCACTCCTGCGTACATGGCAACCTCATGCATGTACTGGACGATGCGACTGTTGGGCAGGGTTTGCCAAGACGGCTGGTTTTGATGCTGTTGTGGAGGGTGATAAGAGCTTCCGGGCTGAGATCTGCGAACATGTGCCGGGGTATTGTTGATCATGGCAACCCCATTACCCTGATTTGATGGTTTGTGCTCAGACACAGACATCACCTGTGAATTGTTCATACGCTGGGCATTGGGGAGGACAGACGGGTCTTTTCTCTCAAGACTGCCACCCTGGCGTTTGTGCAGCAAATGAGATGACTTTGCTAGCATTGTGTGAGCCCTTGTGCGATCGTGTGAAATATCCGAATGTGTGCTACCTACACTGTCCTGGCTCCCAGCACGGGCCACCCGCTGAGGGGAGAGAACCCGGTTGGCCACAACATTTTCACTACCATTTCTGGGCATCATCTGACGTCGGGTCAAATGTTTCCTGCCGTCCTCCTCTTGCCGCAAACCATTTTCAACACTGGTGCTTCCGTTCTGATTCACATTGTATACGAACCTCCTCGGCTCACTTTCAGACCTATGATTTATCTCTGTTGGTGAATTCCTGGGGCTTTCCACATTTTCACAGGTCTCAGACAAACTCTGGTCCAGCTCGGCTTCAAGCGCCCGTTGTTTCCTCACATGGAGTGATGGCCGTGACGAGCCAACACTTTTGTCTCCCTCCATGGACTTGCCAGCTGGGATTGAAGAAACCAGATTTCTCAGTGCTGCAGAGCTACCACTTGAGATCATTTTGTGCCGGGAGTGAACCAGGTTTCGCAGCATGCTGACAGCCCCCATCTCCCTCAGTGTGTTCTGATCCTCCTCGCACCTGGCTGACAAGTTCCACAGTGTGCCGCAGGCATTGCTGACGATGGTCAAGCTCGTCGACCGCAGGTGGTGCAGAAGAATCGGCAGGCATCCGCTCTGTCGGAGCACCTGCCTGTATTCCTCCCTGATGGCTATTTGACTTGACACATTTCGAAGTATGCCCCCACCATTCTCAACAATGGCCAGGGTCTTGGCAGCACTCTTGTAGGTGAGGAGACCCACCAGGAACTGGAGGGCACCCTCCACAGCACAGATTTCCGCCTTGTTCTCAGAACAGTGGGAAGATAAGTTCCATAGAGCAGATAAGATACTCTTTAAGGTTGTCTCCTTCTTCACTATCATGGAAGCCTTCATCAGAATTGTCACCCCACCAATCTGCAAAGCAAAGAAATGTACATAATGATGCAGGGACTATAAAAACAATGTTAACTCAAGACAAAACAAACTTAAGTTCTGAAGGTTTTTAACTTGTGGCAAGGCACATGCCCATATAACCACTGAATAAGGATGTTGAATATTGCTAAATTCCGCCAGAAGATCTTAAGATAAACAATTTTTTTTTAAATGTTGCAACTGTAACAATATAAATTTCTCCTCATTCTAATGCACATTTCTTAACTATCATTATCAAAACAGTCTTCCAGCAGGACTATTAGAATTTGTAACAGGGTAATTGACCTCTCTAAGTGTCTTCTTGCTGGCCAGATCTGCCCTCCAGCTGAGATTCCTCAGGACACTGGCAGCTGCCTGGATCAGATCCTCATTGGAAGACTTGAGCTGCTCCACCAGGGCCTCCATGGAGCCTCGCATGGAACACAGCAGGGCCTTGTTTTTGCCATCACCAAATGTCAGGTTGGTCAGAGCCATGCACGCGTAGCGGCGAACAGTTGTGCTGGGGGGGGGAACAAAAACACTGGTACAATGGCAGTTAATATCTAACGTGGCTGCTTTTTTAAGCAATGAAGCGAGTCCAGTTGAGGTAAAAGAAAGAAATTTGGGGATTATAACAATGAACGTTATTATAAAATTTAAAAAAAAATAAAAATTATCCCTCGTGTTCTTGAAGGCGAAAAAGCTGGTGAGGTGACTCTTAACAAGTGAAATGATGACATTTGATCAAAATAAATAGAAATTTCAGACCTGTTTACCCTCAAACCCCTAAAATCATACAATATCGTCTCAAAATCTTTGAATAAAGTATCTTAATAGCAAATAAATAAAAATAAAGTGTATATAATGCATACAATAACTATTCGTGTAGCGTGTTCAGTGGAATCGAATTGAGCTGATGTAAAAAAAATTGAACTGAGGTAAACAGTAGATGACTGACGTTAACTGCAAACTGCTGTCACTTTTTTTTGCAGACGAGTATCTGCTATAGATACCAATAAATATTTAGGTGAACGTCCTTATTACATTATCACAGTCTGTCACTGGTTACAGGTGAAATTTAACGTGGTTCAAACTCGGAGTGAGATAAGGATAAAATAAGATTTTTTAAAATAAGAATTAATTACCCGCTAACAAATTAGGGTGTCATTAAAAAAAAAGCTACCAAGTAACCTGAGATTTATTTTTTGGAAAATCAGTTACAAAAAATTATTATAAATATCCATTATGCCTATTTCATTTCTCACAAATTACTGTCTGATTACCACAAGCTGTAAATGGGTGAAAGGAGGAGGGGTATTAAAAATCGCACAGCTGTTTTGTGCGTTTTATAAATTTCAGATCCTATGAAATATGTCGAAGTTTAATATTGCTGCGTGTTAACAATTGAGAATGCATTCTCCAGTTATCTCCGTTTCCGTAGGGTACTCTCCGCGGTCAGCCGTAAGAAATAGTTATGTCATGAAATTAGGTCCTACAAAGCAAACAGACGTGAGGAGCAGCACCGGTACACGTGAGGAGCAGCACCGGTACACGTGACGAGCAGCACCGGTACACGTGACGAGCAGCACCGGTACACGTGAGGAGCAGCACCGGTACGCATAAAAGACAAATTATCTAACCCTCCCACTCCCCTTGCGTGCATACTTTAAAAAAAAAATAATCATAATTTTTAACCGCCCCCCCCCCCCCCCCCTCCCCTTTTTGCGTACGTTACACTGAGCTTTCGGACACCTCAACCCCTCCAAAATTTTCTTTTTTTAAAATGAACAAAATCCATTATATATTATGATGTTACAGTAAACACTGGTGATATGGGTTTTAACCAATGTGATTTGTTGCACATTTTTCTTTATGGGTTGCTGCGGCTTCCTTTATATTTATAACATTTTCATAATTTTATTTTCACTTTTAATCCAATGTGACAACTTTCGGTTACGGTGCAAACAGTTACCCTCTTGACCAATTGCTGTTCGCAGGTACTAGATGGCACAAGAATGCACTTACATTTATGCACAAATTCTACAAAAAATGATCTTGACAGTCTCTTATAGTCCCAACTATCACCTGAAAATCTGTGAAATCCATGAATTCTAATTCGGCCTATTATTATTTTTAAGGCTATAAAAAATATCACCACAATGTTTCGCAGTTATCGTATACTAATGCTTTGTGTTTTCATAAAGAGGTCACTGTAGTAGTAATATTTAAGACGACATATTGACAACACACTGTAGTCCACTGATATGTCTCTTCATGCTGGTGACAAACCAACTCTCCCCCACCCTCATTAATAGGAAAAACATTGAGAGCCGTCGTCGCCTATCCAATATGCGCCTGATTTTTTCTGTTAACATACTATAGACTATTAACTACCACAAGCTGTAAAAAAATAGTGTGGGTGGGGTGGTAGTAGGAGTAGTGACACCAAACTGTTGTGTAAAATCGGTGAGGGGATAGAGCTGCTTTGAGAGTTCTAAAAATATTTTTAAAATCCGCTGATTAGACCTCACATCTAGTTTTCTCCGTTTTCCCAATCGACGAGGTTCAGATGAACACATGCTTGGTAGCAGTCCAAGCGGATTGTGAGTGAAGTTGTCGCTGGGGCGACTAGTCTAAATATTACTGTTGATGCACTAGCTAGTTCACTGTGACAAACAAAGCAACAGTATGACTACCATCACCCTCAATACGATACATTACAGTGATATTTTTATAGCCTTTGACACTCCCACCAATCACCCTCAATACGATGATATTTTTATAGCCTTTGACACTCCCACCAATCCCCTTACCCATGCCTTTCGTATGCCACAAATCTCCTTAATCAACAACCCCCACCTCCCCTATCAGTGCGTAAATAATATAATGAAGGATGGTCCCAACTTTGGAAAAAATTAACAAACAATCATTCTTCTCTGTCCATTCAATGCCAGATCTTTTTTAGAAAGAGCTCAAACTTCCACGCTCGAAAATTTATTTTATTTTATTTTTAATCAGAAAAAATTAAACAAGACAAATATTTTTTCACCAGGTCTCTGAAAATCGCAGCTTTGGCAGGTCTAGGCGTACAATCGTAAAAGACATCTAAAAATATTAAATTGAGCGCCAAAATCTTAGAGTAAACAGGTATGAAATTTAGTTCATGAGTTATTTTTGATGCCATCACTCCACATGCCTAGGACCCACCTGTAATCATTAGCAGGCCCGGTGGTCCTGTTGTCTATCTCCAAGAGTTCAGCTATAGCCTGCAGGCCACCCAGTGTACAGATGGCATGCCTGTAGTCCTCATCAAAAGACAGCTTCATCAGAGCTGCTATGGCAGCCCCAGGATGGTGGTCCATCTCTGAACAACCTGTTACAATACAGTACAGTATGTTAGCTTCAACCCGACCTTGTGACAGTTTACTGCAAATATACTTGTGATACAACCTGATAATGGCCCTTTGTACAACAAAAAAAATAATAATACAAAGTTAGTCAAATCCAACCCTTGACCTGCCACTCACTATAGCTAGTCGCAACCCCTGCCACTTACAATAGTTAGTCTCAACCATTGTCCTACCACTAACAATAGTTAGTCGCAACCTCTGCCCTACACTCACTATAGTTAGTCCTAACCCCTGCCCAGTCACTCACTATAGTTGGTCTAAACCCATGCCCTGCCACTTACTAGAGTTAGTCTCAACCCATGCCTTGCCACTCACTATAGTTGATCTCAACCATGCCCTGCCACTCACTAGAGTTAGTCTCAACCCATGCCTTGCCACTCACTATAGTTGATC